CTGTATCTTCAAGACGAGAAGCTATCGGAACATTTTATATTCGCAGACCTTTGTGTGTGTAGACCTACTTCTATGATTGTCTGGCGGTATTCTGATAATGTTGTTATGGACCACGACGGTGATGACATCCACTAAACCTTCATCATAGCCAGATCCTTCTGTTTTAGTTTTTTTGTAATCCGGGGTTACATATGTTTTATGGTGCGTTACTACAGAGAACCCTACACGTTGGCATATTCATCACCCAGTCCGCTTTCCTTCTCATTTCTGTCACACCAACACTTAGATGGATCCAATATTCTTATGGTTTCCCAACCAACAGACATGTAACAAACTGCAGTAGTATTTCACACAGAATCTCGCCGCAGAAAAATCGCAACATCGATGCTCCTTATCTAGCATTTATACAGATTTACACTCCACGGTCAAGACTTTTGCGGAGACTAACACGCGCTGCAACGTAAGTGTTCCACATTCGACTCATCTGTCTGTTCACTTTCGTGTCTGAACCTACTTTGCTCTTATGAATACGCCCTCTCATACTCTTACCTTGCCTCGTGCACGTCATTTTAAATTTATGAAAATTTAGCCCTATGGTTGAACAAGGCCGACAAAATTCACTGTACTTAGGCCACCGACTGTCCACTTCGGTGCACGAAAATCAAAATCAACAGGTCTTATTTGCAAATGAAACTTCAAGCGAAAAAGAAAGGTATGCGTGGTATAAAAAGTCAGCTGGACCAAAAATAGTCTGTCCACTATGAGTCACTTGCGTTTTCCACGGAAACGTACAAATAGGCTGAAGCTACACCACGAACGTCTGCCATAAAGACATCTATAAATCAGTCGAGTCGGCTGGGAACACTACTGACAGTAGAAAAAACTGCCACGATTGGATTACCACGGACGAATGCTTCCCAAGATACTTTAATTGATCATATCCCCTAAATGCCAGTCGAACATAGCACGTCTTGTAAAAAGACAGACAGTGTCGGCGTGATCATGTCCCCTAATTGCCCACCAGTAACTTGCTGCCTAGCGCACAGTAATGTGACCGATTAGTATTCAAACCTAGCTGACCTTACTTTCAGATGATCTGTTAGTGAAAGCAACACTTGATTCCACCATACTTTACCGAATCGCATTTGCATCTCGAGGGAACTGCTGGAGAACGAGGAAATCCTGGATATTCGGATACAGTGGATAGCAGTTCATAGGAATGCCCAAGCAGTAAACTAACTAAACTGACCATTGGCCAACGCTAGTTCAAAGTTCTTTTTGGCTTTCGAGCAAGGAGGTATGAATTACGTGACCAGATTCGAACGACCTCATCCACTGATAATAACCTGAAATTGACTAGTCGAGCCGACTTGAATGTGTTCAGTAGACGGCACGGAAGACATTTTCTTTCTTGTGGGGATTTCGTCCTGTAAGTGAAGCCAAGCTATGCTGAAAAGCCAAGAAGCACTGTGCAGCTGTTTCATCCTTTTCAGCATAGATTTGCTTCACTTACAGGACGAAAGCTCCACAAAAAACCTAATCTCCTCACAGTAACATTTTTTTTTCGCTTGAGCAAACATTCTGTGTTCCGTGCCTCCGTGAAGTAGTATTGTGCTCCCGTATTTTCTGACAAACGTATAGCCGATGTACGATACTGGACACGAGAATACGAATGACTAGATGTGGAAACTGGTGGTGGAATTTGGCAGCTTGTTATTCAGTTGGGACGTGATGGTATGGGTTGAAGTGAAACCCAGGCTTGGATAAGCGACTTTACAGAAGAGATAAACAATAACTATTGGTCTTTTGTTAACCAAAGTAGCCGTTGAATCTCTTCTAACTGAAAGATTGAAGTAGACCTTTTCCTTCTCTATGAGTGCTTTATAGGCATTAGGTTGAGACTTTTTTTACTGTGATTCGTCGCATTTCACCAATGAATTTTAGTCCTCTTGAAGACATCGGTTGAGAGATTCTTGCAGACCTCTCAGTTAGACATTCTATTAGAGTGGAGAGAACTGTCGATGTCCGCTTTATTTATGTTTCGTGTTGAGCTACTCCAACATCCATCTTACACCTAAGTACATCAAAAAACGATGGATTCCAAAGTAAACTGATTATTAGGATGGGCTGAGTTGAAGAATCCCAAGACAAAGAATTGATACTATCCTCCCCAATTAAAAACACCTCGTCCACGTAGTGACAATGGAGTGTGAGGGACAGGGTTTCGACGAGAAGTCTGTAATAAGGGAACTTAGCAATGATCACATTACGAAACCATCTTTCCCTCGGTGTGTTTTGCCGTTGGAACCGAACTGGAAGTTGTAGATGCACATTGATAACAGTTCTTTGAGGCCTGGAAAATGGATTCCGACATCACCACTGCACTAAATCAAATTACAAGTATCAAGCGTGCTTGATCCGCGTCCCGAACGCTGTCGAGAGTGGTGCCACATTCACCCTTGGAGAAACAAGTGAGCGCAGTGGTTGTAAGGTTGTTTCGATTCACCTAGAAATGTTTTGGAAACTGATTTTGATCGCTACAACGACTCGAGAAACAAAACTGTGTTCCCGCTCCCGCAAAGTGTACATTACACGTCAGATTCTTCTGAAGTTACCTTATCACATGTTTCGTTGGACTGTTTTACTCGAAGGAGGTAACCGTAACGAGCAGCTTGGGGAAAAAAAGCCTGATTTTTATGAGTCATCGGGCAAGAACATCAGGAATTTATGTGCACGAGTACAGCTGCAACGGATTTAGAACGTCCATATAGCACCGGTATTTTGCAATCAATGACTTTTGTAAAAGGACATGTTCTGTTCCAGCGAGGCTCGACTGCACCAGCTTCCTGAAAACTATCGAGACTCTGGAAGGGAACTGAGGGATAAACCACTGACTACTATGTTCAGGTGTAAAAATACATCAATGGACCATTAGCGGAGGCACCTGTCTTATGAGAAGAACCGAAAACAGTTATCGAGAAACTCGTCTACCTCGCCCTCTACAGCGTGCTCACATACAAAACTCACGCCATGAAATTGGTCAACGGATGTTTAACTTGACGCATAACCAAAAAAGTGAGTAAGAATTCACACTGAAAATTTCGACACGATAGCGCGAAGCGCAGCTAAGTAACTTCTTCTGTTAAGAGGAACATCCAGAACAACTGTAGACATGCAAGTGCTCTGCGGATTGCGCGATAACAAACCCATTACGGGTTCTAAATTGTCAAAAACTCCTGATTAGATTAGCTGTGTCGTGTAGCAAGAAGCAGAATAAATTTTTAGAAACTTGCTTAATAATTCCTGCTTTAGTCACTGAGTAACTATCAGACTCATCCACTTTGATAAGAGCAATCCATTTTGCCACTTTAAAACAGCGGCATTCTAGAAAAAGCTTGGTTATACCCATATTATACTTGCCATTGTCGCAATTCTCCCTCACTTACTCTTACTATAGCAACAATTCGGTGTGAAATCCTCGCTAAGGCACACATGAGCTGCTGGGGACACTGACGACACATTCTAATTAGCAGAAATCTTGAAACATGAACAGATAATGAAACTGGTAAAAAGAGCCTTCAACAAACACGAACAAATCATCTCCTAATCTTGTAATATTTCTGCGAAAGCACTATATACGGCGATTACTCTGCACTTGGAATTAGATAACAGGATAGGATATCTGCCGTCTTTGGGCGTTCACCGAACGTAGCAGTCGATTTGCGAACATGTCACCATCGGAACACTCGAACGACAAATATTTCTACATAACGTCATCAGTTTTGTGTCCTGATACTTCTCCCTGCGCAAACGCCTCGGTGTGGAACGACCATGGGCCCTCGTACATTCGTAGAGTCACGCCTAGCCAGTATCTGAATTGTCCATATCACGAGCTGTATGTCTGCAGGTGCTGATGCAATGCAAATCGGCATGGATACTTTGTCGAAGAAAAATGATGCGATTGGGGAGTTCGACGATAGTTAGCATGTGAGCGAAGACCTCGTTTAATTCGCCTGTGCGAAAAGCGGACAGCACATCAGTCTGCGTGCCAGCAGCAAGGATAGCGCTTTTACGTGCTGAATTCTCAACTGATTTGTCAATAGATATAGCCTCTTTATCTACGTAACCTGATAATTTGGTCACACCTGGTGTAAATCGAACCGTGTATTCTTATTCGCGTTAATAGCTCCACTTCCTCACATGCAAGTTCATGTGGGGCATTTTTTTATCTTATTCTCAGACTATATTCAATGAGCGACCAGTCGTCCATTGCTCGTAGGTGACGCCATCGAGCAGCCAACAATGCCCAGAGGTGGGATGACTGATGGAAACAGTAGTCCCTCACCGTAGGTAATTTCTGGTAACTATCCTATCGCACCTCATTTAGCCCACGTTTTTAAGGCCCGGCTTATGCATCCACTGGTCAATTTTTATCATCTTTTAGTTATAGGTAACTTCTGGTAATTATCCGATCGCACCTCATTTGGCCCGGCCTATGCACCCACTGGTCAATTTTTATCATCTTTTAGTTTTGCTTACTGATAAGTAGCTTAAACGTGTCGTCATTCTGTCACCGCTTTGGAATACTTAGGTGTAAGTTTTCTATTCAGGGGTGATGAAACATGCGACTGGCGCCTGCGATTGGCACAGAGAATCTCTGCTGAGAAACCCATTAGTTTCCTTTGACTGCTCTTACTAGTAATATATCAGCTGTGGTTACTTCTTGTGATATACCTGAATTCTGGGTTCGAGGTTTCTCATGTTATCCTATGTAGTTTCACGTTGAAGCGGTCATTGGCGGAATGATAAACCGCCAAATAAGAGGATTATCAAGTCATTAATGGTGAATTGCGCTTTCCTCAAAAATATCGGCTTCGGGGTTTACAGACTATGTTAAAGTGGTTTCTAACAGGAAAAAAAAACGAAGGTAAATTTATCCCGTAGATGGTATCACTTATCACGAACTTCCATACGAACAAGCCAACCAAAATGGATTTGGGCAAAATACAGCGGTAGTAAAAAGGTATATGTACAGGAATGTGAAACACTCGAAGACCAATATCGGCCAGTAATTCCACTTGATCTTAAGCACTTCGATTGGATTCGACAGGCAAATATAGCTTGAATTCTGCTGGAAGCTCATCGTCCGAGTAAAGCCGGTCACAAAAATAAATTCGACGTATTCGACAGTTTGCATGGACCTGAAGAAGGTAAAGAGTAGAGAATCATAGTAAAACCTTTAAATGACCAGCATTCAGTTCAATATCAAATAGATGGCAAAGCACAACACATGCTTTTCTGCCCTCCCACCAGTACCACTGGCCCATCCGGTTCTGAGAGGTAGGTCCGTTTCGTTTGACGCGGTTGCATCAAACGCAAACTCCACTCGCCGAGGTGATACCATACAGAAGCAGATGGAACTGGTCCAGAAACATCTAAAGAGTAAGGGACTGCATTTCCAAAAGTTCGAACCTTACGATAAAACAAACAGACTCATAAAATAGGAAAATGAGTGTTATCCCTCTGATTAGACGTACTCACGAAACTTCATGCGCCCAATCAGAAACAATCATTTGCCAACAGTAGGAAAAGAATGTAGCAGAGTCCTATCCCAAATTACTCGATAGTGCTGAAGTTTTCGGTGGTCATGTAGAAACATCCAAGGCGTAAAATATTGCTCGGTACATCGGTGATTACACCAAAGTGACTACTGTACCCAGTATTTAATATTTGACAAAAGAAATGTACTATTCCACCAGACATCGACATGGCGACAGTCGAGAATGGCTGTCGTTCATGCGGGAACTGCCTAAAAATCTTGAAAAAAACCGAGATGATTTCAACGTGATTCTATACAGCGGATTCAAATAAGCTGAATCGACTCAAAACTTGAGTGGGAGGTGATCACCTGCAAGCTAGTTCGCTGTGAAGAGAAAAACCGACATCTTCATACGAACTCAAAATCATACACTGTTCTGATTCACAGAACCCAGTGAGACTCAGAGGCGAGATGGTTCAGTAGTTAGAGTGCAAATTTACTAAGTGGAACGTCCATGGTTGGAACCCGAAATCTGCATCCCAATTTCCCTGCCAACCTGGAAGTATCCTAGCCCTCGTGCTTCCTTCGGGTGGCATGACAGTTGAGCACTGAAACAGTGCTACAGCTGAATGGTTACGGTTACGATGCTAATGTTGGATGCCCAAAAGCTCTCAGAAATGCGGTAGAGAGAGCGAATCCAGGTTTGGAAGTTCAACACCCGCTTCCAAACTAAGAAACAAAAAGACGTTCTTAGAGGGTGGGAGAACCCTTTACATGGGCGTTCTTCTGGCAGGAGTCAGTCAATACCAACCCACAAGACACTAAAGGCATTACTGAACTATGAGTGTCCCACCCCCGCACAATAGCAACGTTTAACTTGTAACTCGGGGGTTCCGGAATATGGGTTAGTGAGATAGGTGCTGTTAAAGGTACGGAAAAAGGTACGCAGCACATGTTCCCCAATATTGGTTGACTTCAGTTGCAGGATGGAATCCAGATTACACAAGGGGAATGAATTTTTAGGAGAAACAGGAGATTCAAAAACCATATGAATGTATCCAGTGAACGATCTAAACCAATGGTGAACGTGCAAGTGATGTTGGACAATATGATTCGGCACATCCCGTGAATTCTTCTGCACACTTGGTAAGCTCGAAACAAAGCGACCGTATACTCTTAGTGTGGCTCTGGCATATAAAAGGAACTCCTCACCTGAATCCGCAGCACTTCAACAAAATTCGTTCCATAGGCTCTTTTCGTAAAATCCGCAACATTAAAAAACACATTGTTCCAATTTTCATCCAGTCGGAGAGGCATTGTGCATATGAAGGGCTTGACGCGAGTGGTGCTCTGATAGTTACTAGCACGAAAGCGCCGTTTGATTCCAGCATCGTCCAATATCTAGCGACAACACATCGTCACAGTGAGCTGAATGTTACCTACTTGAATCTCAAAAGTGAAGTACTTTTTCAGATTTTTGACAATAAGCACAAGGAAAGGTAGTTTGATGCCCAGAGACTTCCTCGGATCTGCGGGACATGATATGTAAGTCGTGCTGAATGAAGGTGTAAGAGGGGAATAACAAAACATACGATACATTGTTACCCAAAAGTTCGAGCACAAGAGATTGAATATCACTATCGGTTATCCGTTTTATGTGTCCGTTACGAACCTAAAATGTGCAAAGTGCTGAAATACGGAGGTTCAACTAACCTTTTTGTCCCATAATTGTAAGGGTTTCGTTCCAACACTAAACAAAACAGACAGGAAACCACTCTGAAACGTGTTTCGGAACATTTCCGAGCTGAAAAGAAGCGAAGATAATGAACATGATCAATTAAAAAGCAGACAGGAAACCACTCTGAAACGTGTTTCGAAACATTCCCGAGCTGAAAAGAAGCGAAGACAATGATGATCAATTAAAAAGTGGTGACACAAAGCGCGGCATGGATAATCAGGGTCATTCCTATACTGCCGATGTCTATCGTTCCGAATCCAAATTGTTCGAGACTGAGCACATTATTTGCGTTATTGCCAGGTATCAGATACCAGGTACCGCCAGATAAGTTTTCCTACTCGTTTTCTGTGGGTACATTTATTATTTATTACCAATATCAAAGTTCAGTTGTGGCACTCTTTAGGGGAACTACCGTGCAACTTGAGGAAAGCACAAGGACTAGCTGCTGCCAGGGTGCCCACGTTTAAACAGGAGCAACCAAAATACCATGATCTAGCTCGGACCACAGACCTTCTGCGCAGTAGTTTTTCACTTTACCCACTCAGCTACCTCTTTATTTCTTGAAATGAGTGGTTTTTTTATAAACTAGGGCAGCATCAGCAAATGCTTCACAGGCCCTCCTAAGTTAAGTAAACATTCTTCTGCAGACTGAACATGCATGAGTATCTTAACAGGATTACATGTGACGTCGCGGAGCTGTAATTGTCATTGGGGAATCATCGCCGACCAAACTTACCGGATCATTGCGTGATTCAACATCCCATGCAATTAAGAGAGTTTGTCAGTTTGATTGTTTCATAACAGTTACGGTATCGCTAGCAGAAACCTTCGTCTGTTGCACGGAAGATGAGGATTAGCTGAACGACACACTCTCGTCCCCCTAACTTTCATCTCCTGGAAAGAGCTTGGGTAAGGTTTGATGATATTCAAGATACCCAAATGAGAAGATGCACCGGTTCACCACTCAAACAAAAGAATTTGTTAACCAGATATGACCGACCAGGGTACAGGGGCCAGGTGTTTAGAGACAACCGCCGAAAGTCACGTCTAATTCTCGACCTAGAGAGTATCTGCTCGATTTGACACTGCTTTAATCCATCAGCCTATTGCAGTTTATCTGCTCTAAACCGTGTACCAGGGATATATTGGGTCCAACTGCTACAAGTTTGGTTGCCGGAAAATTGGACAGCAAGGTAGACACAGACAAGCATTGGGCGCGATCGCACAATTAAGAAGTTAGTATTGTAAACTAACTTGAAGGCATGGGAAGGTAATAGCTTTGAATTAGGAGCATATCTGACCGCATGACCGAGCCATGTCTACCAATATTGTCAATTCTGGGGTCCACATTCAGGTTAGCGCAGGCGCCAACCCGACTGAGGTTATTGCTTTCATACTTCCTTGCCAGGTCATAGACTGTCCAAGTCTCGGCCATTTCTACTCAGCAAAGGGCTGGAAAAAAACCCTCGATGCAGACGCCTCTCTGACATACAAAGTACACGACCTAACCAGAGTAACTTGTGAAGCGTAAACAGTTCACCCATCGTCGGAAAGTTCCCTCTTCTCAGAACTATGTGACGTAACGCAGCATTCCTAAGCCAATGTTTCCACCAAACCCGACCAATGTTTCGGGGACACCGATGGCCAGATTTATACATCATCTGCGCGTACAAGAGACGTTGTAGATCCGTAAAAAAAAGCACAGATCACGTCAACGTAGTGTATACTGTGCCGCTGACAGATAAGATGACGTCAGCGGATACCATACATGTTGGAGGTTCCAAAAGCTGCGCTGATCTTCCCCACTCTAGAAGTGATCTCGTCTCCAAGTCCAGCAGAACTTACACAACTGTCCAGATAGTCAGATTTACCCACCACGTTGACTGGCTGGTGGGGTACGATCCCATTCAGTGTTGCAAATGTGAAGCGCATACCAAACCGTGCGGCACAACTATTTTGGTTGTCCAAAATGGTTTGCATTTTTGAAGGATTTGAACTCAATATCTTTTATATCCAGTAGCATTCCGATCCCCGTGGTTTTGGAGGTAGACAAAGAAATTTCAAGCAGAACGCAATAATGAAGTTTGAGGGAACTGGGGGAAAAAGGCAGCCTTGTCCTGCACAAGTCGTGAGCTCACGTGAAAGATTACTATGTACCCACAGCGCCCCCAGGAGTTAGCATGCAGCACCCTCATAAAGGATAAAACCTGGAAAGTATACCTTTGATTGTCAAGTAGCACGAAAATTTGACGATCGACAGGGTCAAAAGATCGCAGATCAAGAAAAACCATCAACGTGGGATGCCTGAGTGGTGCCGTTAAAGAACTTGTCACAAGATAAAGATGCGGGCGATGCATCCTCCGCAAGACCGGAGCCTGATTCTCACGAGTTTGTATACCCCGATAATCAATCAACCAGCGCGAAATAATGTCAGAGAGCACATTGGATGCCACCGTTGCCAGTATGACGTCACGATAATTTTCGCGCAAAGTTTTTGTGCCGTTTTTCAAGATAAGGATAACATTCGAGGCATTTCATTCCTCTGGAACTGTTTCGTTCCCAACCTTCCGCAGTGGGGTCAAGAGGATTTCATCAACTTCTCTGAAAAGTGCCGAGTGTGGACCGTCGTGGCAGGGTGCTTTTTTCACCTTGGAAAAATGACAATTCCAGCTAGATTTTTGTTGTTAAAGGCGGATCATTAAGTTATTTCATAGGTTGTGTTGAAAGAGGCCTGCTGAACTGCACTAAAATATTCAACCTAACGGTATTATGAAAGGACTACGATACCACCTTTTTCGCAAATCGCATCGCTGATATTCGTCTGCTTTTGACCAACGAACCGAATCCGAATCCGAACAGATCACATTGCTATCAGGTACCGGTGGCGAGAGTCGATCAGTGCAAGAACATCAAATGAAAACCACTTGGGCCTCAGCCCATTGGTTGCAGCTTCCATCGCGTTTCTATGCATCATTCTACGCAGGTCTATCCGTCACTGGGAGCAAGATTCGCGAGAACTAAGCTGAGTTGCGCCTTGGTAGGGGTCACATCGACCATATGCTTGTCTTCCGACAGGTGTTGGAACTGCGCATCTCCTTCCGACGACCAAAAATCGTCGCATTTCTTGATCCCAAATATTCCTTAGACTCCAGCGACCGTCAGAAACCGTACTAGTGTCTGATGATGATGGATGTCTTCTCTAAAATCTTGTCTTCTGTGAGGGCTTAAGATGCCTCCTCTGGTAGATGCACACTTGTCTGCAGGGAATCCTCGGCTGAGTTCACCAAGTCAATTGCAACCGATATGTTCCTTGAGTCTTCTATACAGGCCTCTAACACCTCGAGGATCGAAATACTGCCGGGTCGTTCGCCTACAGACTTTGAGTACGCCACCAATGTTGCCCCCTTATACTATTACTCTTTTAAACACGAACCAGTTTAAATGACAAATAAATCTGCTGCGTAGTTCGACATATTTTAAAGTGGGAAGTGATGGCGCAAGATTGGGTGGGGTCAAACTCAGACCTCATGCTTGCAGGTATACCGACTGATGTAGTAGATACTTGCGATTACCTGGGCAGCCCTGGCGGCCCAATGAAAGACGAATTCACATCCCAAATTGAGAAGGCCACAGTATCATAATCTGAAGTGACATTTGCAGCTCCAACGAGAAGTCAGCTTGACTGTCAAGCATAGAGTGCACAGTGTCACTTCCCGATCTGTCCTGTGTGGATCAGAGACGTGAACACTGCGTGTGAAAGAAGGCCACCTGTGCTTGATCATAGGCGCCACCAAAGAATTTCCAGAGTATGACTGAGTAGTGCTGAATAACGCAAGGTAGTTTCCAGGAGAGTTCATTCTTCTTCGATAGATCAGCTGGTCACACACAAGTTACGCTAGTCAGGCCGCATACTTCGATGCCAGAGGACCGTTTGCCTCGTATCGGACGTAGACGGCTCAGAGGAATTCAGTCCACGACTTGGCAATGAAGTACGGGAGCCCTTATCAATCAACTCAATCGCGTTAGTAGACGCCGTCTTCCCGGGTAAGGATCGCGAGACAGGACGAATCCTGGCAAGTATGGCTGCCACGCGGTCAGTGGCGATGCTGCATCAAGGCTAACGCCTACACTGTGAAGATTTTACTTCTTATCAAATTAGACAAGCAGGCTCATTTGTCCTCAATAAACAAACTAGGCCATCACTTCCATGCGTGGTTCCTATTCCCTTATTATCTTCATCGTCGGTGAACGAACCTATGGCAGCTAGCACCATTGCATTTCGACGCACGGTTTGTGAGCCGAAAAACTGAACCGGATTCAGGTAGAATCACCGGAGATTGCGGAGAATTTTACATGCCCTGGTAAATATGGTAGTTTTGACGGAAGTGTCTGATAAAGTCAACGGACGTGTAGCACTTGTAAACTGCTCTTTTTCATGCTCAGTATCATCTTCTTTTTCCCCATCATTATCAGCCACATCACTGTACAAAAGTTTGTTTTACTGAAATACAACCGCTACCGCCCGCTTGTTGGCTCCAACGTGACTTTGAGACTTTTGCTGAGTGACTGTTGTTGTGACCGCCGGTTGGCTATATTTGACCGCTGCTAACACTAAACGTGAACCAACATTTCAGCTGCAAACACCGGCTCCATAGGGCCGTTAACCACTACAGACGAACCTCAAATGCCCGAATCAAATTTGCTAATTTGCCATCTGTGGCATCAAAACATGTCACTTGGTTTCAAGGGTTGCGTGCATCAGGTAACAGTTGGGGCCGCATTGTTGTATGGTTGTGAGACGGCTACTGTGGACAGGTGATGTGAACCATCTACAAGTTTTGACCACACATGCCTCAATCGTTGCTGGCTAACTTCAACACATTCGTAATTAGAAAACGGGTATTTGGTTGTGCAGCATGTACTTCAGCTGCAGAAAATACCCAGCACCATCAGCTTCGGTGGCTCGATCATGGCGAAACATTGTCTACCGAGGTCAGTTGTCCTCCCTCAAAATGGCGCGAACCGCGAAATGGACGATGGGTGCCTTGACGTTGAGGTGGGAAAGA